CACTCTACAACATGTTTGGAATCGACAGAAGTACAGTTGGACTTACGAACAGTAACCTCTGGAACCTAACTCGCTTGCGAGTAGAGGAGTCCCCGTCGTGTGTGCTTTACAAAATGGATGTGTCTGGTGCCCTTTCAAAGTACATCACGGTGGACAGCCCTCTATAACCACAGTGACAAAAACGGCATGCCATGAGTGAATTGGGCACCAAAAGTTACGCCCTCGGTGCTCAGGTGAGAGCCCCGCGTGCGACTTGCTGGGTCCCCCTTCGTTTCACTCTCAGCGCTCAATGAGGAATCTGGAGTGAAGGCGTCGCCACTTTTGGCTGTGAACCCACGTGCAGACGTGTCCCGTACAGCGTAACCTGGTCGGGTCAAGGGGTGCTTTGACAACCCATTTCTTTAAAGTGGCCTTCCCTGTTTAGTTTGGTCGGTTGCCCTGGTTCTGTTTTTGTTTCCTGCTTTTAATGCGCTGCACATTGGAATCCTAGGATGGAATGCGCGTTATACATTTGAATTATTATTGCGCTGTTTGGCCCTGGTGGTGGAAATTCTACATTGCCATGGCTTTTGCTCGGTCGAATCAATGGGGTGACCACTGTTGCCCTCTCGTAAGTGACACTCGTTTTGTGACACTAATGTTTTGTATTAATCTCTGAGGGATGATGAGCTCAGTTGAACCCTAACTATGATATGAACTCGGAAATTTCTCGTTAAGAGTCAAGCACGATAACCACAGCAACAGTCGGCTGGATAATTGCCGTGTGAAGCCTCAAAATAAATAGGCCACACTGCTTGCAACACTAGGAGTCGAGTGGGTTAGGTTTGCTGAAACCGTTCACTGGGCAGTTGTCCGAATGCACAGACGGGGTTTGTCAAACAAAGGTTGTGTGGAAGTTGAAAAGTCAGCACACTGCTCATGTGGGACGTACGTAATGCTACAGGAAGCAACAACGAATTATGTTCATTGATGTGTTCAATGTTTTTGTTGTTATTTTAATTAAGTCTACAATCACTTCACCCTAAATATGCCACAGTTGTGTTGGATCTCAGGCTGAGCAGGATTTGAGCCTGGTTAGTGCTTGCACGGGTGACCACCAATGCATACGAGGTGTTATAGGCATGAGATTTAGTCAGTAGACTATTCCGTGAAATTGGCTGTATCTGTAGATTGAAACTGTATGTGCAAAGCTTTGAGTGTTACCCCGTCTGGGTAGTCCCGGTTTTCTCCCACATGCCGGTCATAAATTAAATTGACCAAACATCCCAAATGCAGGATGTCTTAAGAGTATTGAGATTCAGTGAGGCTTTCCTGTGGAAATTTATCATTCTCGACCCTGAGGAAAATTTCCACGTGTTACTAATAAATACCACACAGTGATCCGATTATTGCTGCAAAAGGGCCACTGCAAAGTCAGAAACATGCAGGAGACGTACAGTCAATGAAGGGGCCTGCTGAGTAGCAGAAATTTTAGTTTACATTTTTGTGCCAATTCTCATTGGCTAAGCCAGCAAGGTTGAGAATTTCTACTGGCCTCTTTGTCACATTACAGCTGGACCAATGAAAACCTCCAATATTAGAACGCTGACCTTTGAGGGTGACCATTCGTAGGTTCTCCATGAAATTCGTGGCCTTTTATTTATTTTAATATCATTTTATGGTATTTCTACATACGTGACTTTACCGAAAAAACCAATGAGTAATTTTATGCAGTCACGAAAGCTTTAATTCTTTATTTACGGCAAAATACATGAGGACAATATATAAAAACAAGCTTCACATTACATTTTTATTTAAAGCTTTCGTGACTGCAGGGATTCATATTCTTGGTTCTTTCGGTAAAGTCACGTAGAAGGGAAACAATAAAATAAAAAATATATAAAACAATAAAATTCTCACGACGTTTCGACTGCAACACAAGCAATCATATTCTTGGTTCTTTCGGTAAAGTCACATAGAAGGGAAACAATAAAATAATAAAAATGTGAGAATTTTATTGTTTTATATTTTTATTATTTTAATTATTTTATTGTTTCCCTTCTACGTGACTTTACCGAAAGAACCAAGAATATGAATCCCTGCAGTCACAAAAGCTTTAAATAAAAAAAATACAAGCAATCATCATCAGGTTTGAAACCCACAGCAAGAAAATTTGAAAAAAGTAGCGTTTTTTTAACGTTAGCACCACGGAGAGCGATTTGACAGTTTGTTCAGATGGACGAGTCCATCTATGTTCGGAAAAGAGGAGGGGGGAGACGAAAATAATGGATGCGGTCTGAAAGCCACCGTAAGCGTGAACAATTGATTAAGACCTGAAATGGTTGATCAAATCCTTCCAATGATTGCTAAGCCAGAATCCATCTTCTCGGTTGAAATTGTCTCTGTGTTTGTATATGTGGATAGCCTCATGAACGAATCTTTGCAAGCCATCTGGCTACCATGAAAGATTCGTTCATGAGGCTATCCACATATACAAACACAGAGACAATTTAAACCGAGAAGATGGATTCTGGCTCAGCAAACATTGGAAGGATTTGATAAACCATTTCGGGTCTTAATTGATTGTTCATGCTTACGGTGACTTTCAGACCGCATCCATTATTTTCGTCTCCCCCCTCCTCTTTTCCGAACATAGATGGACTCGTCCATCTGAATATCTGCCAAATCGCTCTCCGTGGTGCTAACGTTAAAAAATGCCACTCTTTTCAAATTTTCTTGCTGTGGTTTTCACACCTGATGATGATTCCTTGTGTTGCAGTCGAAACGTCGTGAGAATTTTATTGTTTTATATTTTTATTATTTTATTGTTTCCCTTCTATGTGACTTTACCGAAAGAACCAAGAATAAGCTTCATATTCTTTATATAAATGAACTGCTCTCCAGCGCCTGACCCACGATCGGAGTCCCGCCCTCTCAATGCTAACCGACCAATGGCCATCGGCAGAGTGTACGCCAGGCTTGGTTAAACACATTCATGATAGCAGTTTGGATTTAGACAATGGCAAAACAATTATACGTAAGGAAAGAGCTCGCTAAGAATATGCGCCCTCAACCCGTAGTCATTTTATCTGCAGACATTTCTACAGCCAATCCCGAGACCTTTAATTCCTGCCTTTCCATGCGCCAGAATTATCGGGTTACCTGTTAGTTCAGGAGGTCTTCATGATGTGTATGCTGTGTCCTGGTCTGCAGAGAATGTTAAGTGGCCACTCTGTCTTTGTAAACGTAGGTGGACTCATCGCCTCTCTCACAGGGAGTGGCCAAGAAAGTTAGGAGGGGTCAGGTGGAGGGGATTAGTCGTCGTCTCTCTATAAAGACAGAGACAGTAAAGAGTGGCTACTAAATTTGTATTCCCTGCAGGAGAGGTCAGCCACGTGCACCATGAAGCCCCGAATGGTTATCTCGAGAGAACTGCACGAGTGGACTGGCAGGAATTACGGGTCCTGGAATTGACACATTGGCATGGCTGAGGCTGCGACCCCATTGCTTATTATAATAACTCGGTGCAAGATGTCTAATTCAATGCGTATTCATCAAACGCCACCTAACATTGTGCAATGCATGTCTTGAGATACGCACGCATGCATAAGACAAAGTAATGTATAGCCCTTTTGTCATTGTACTGCTGGATGAAGGCTTTAACGGATGGGATTGGGCCTGGATCCTCGGGATTGGCTGTCGAAACACGAGGCTCAGTATGGTACTTTCTGATCGGTCATCTGTCCGACCGTGTTATCAATTGATGTCGGATCAAGAGTGTGCGGTTGCTGCGTAGACGCCCACGTACATTGACACACTGCTGCGTAGACGCGCACGTACATTGACACACTGCTGCGTAGACGCGCACGTACATTGACACACTGCTGCGTAGACGCGCACGTACATTGACACACTGCTGCGTAGACGCGCACGTACATTGACACACTGCTGCGTAGACGCACACGTACATTGACACACTGGTGGCACGCTGCTGCTGCGAGTTTCCCTCAAGTTGTTGAAAGCAAAACTGCGCACCGCCCATCCCCCTGTTGGCGAGGCGCCATTGATTATGCTCATTATCATGAACTGCAGACGATAAATGTCTCTTTTTTTTGTGACGTCTGTGGCCCTGCGTCCGCGCGCAGCGCCAGGGGAACTGATGCGCTGGGTTTATGTGGCCAATGATTTCACGTTACCTGAGGGAGAGAGGCTATTTATATCACCGCGGCAGAGGCCCGGCTCGCACGTGGAAATGTGCCCTGCGCTGGAGACGCGCCGTGAGGCCATGCGAGCAACGCATTGGCTGGGGACATTCTCCCTCCTTTCGCTTAAATTTAATTAGGTTAATTTTACAGAGAGAACAAGCCGTCTGATTTGTTTAATAATGGAAAAAACTGTACTCGCGTAGAACGTCTTACGTAAATTGTTGTTATTATTGTTAGACTCATGTATACAAAATACATTTTGACTTACATAACACCAAATTCACGTGTGGGGAATGATGGCGTAGCTTTCAGCACACGGAGCAGTGAACCCTTTGACCTGAGCTCAATTAGTGACCACGGTTAAAACCAGCGATATCTTACCAGTCCTAGGCCATCTCGTCATCTTACCTACACTGACCACGGTGGTGAGGTATGGTCAGACAACTCCCAGGACCAATCCCATATGTGTAAGTCTTCATCCAGCAGTACATTGGCAAAAGGGCTGTAAATGACTATTTATTATGCATGCGTATCTCGAGACATGCATTGCTTTATGTTAAGTGGCGTTTGATGAATATACATTGGACATCTTGCACCGCGTTGTTATCATAAGCAATGGGGTTACATGCTCAGCCGTGCCAATCTCGCGATGGTAACTGAAAATGTATTTAACAATGTAAATTATAAATCCCAATAATAAGAATATACTGTCTTCTTGGTTCTTTCGGTAAAGTCACGTAGATTGGAAATAAAATGATAAAAATATAAAACATAATAAAATAAATATGTTTTATTTTTATTATTTTATTTCCATTCTATGTGACTTCACCGAAAGAACCAAGAAGACGAATCCCTGCAGTCACGAAAGCTTTAAATCGAAGAATATACTGCTTTATCCTAAAGGTGTTTATGTTTGTGCCAACCTTATTGTATGTCCGCTTGTCATGCTAGAACTGCACCTAGATGTACCTCTCGGTTTTTTGGCTATGTAAAATAAAAACATTTTTATAACCTCCTGCATGAATGCATGCACACACACAGAATAATCATTTTCCCAATGTGTAGGGGCAGAGAAACTAATATCACAATACACAGTGTTATGTACAGTCTATAAAATACCTCACCATACATTTTTCTGAAGAGTCAATCCCCCCATACAGGGGCTTACAGCTGTGGATGCCCCAAGGTGACTTGGGCCCATTCCTCAGCCTAGTCTGCGGCTGGGAACGTCTCCTGGTGTAACCTCTACCCACAGTGTGACCCCTCGTGGCCCTCAACCATCTCAGCGATGATCTTTACCTCCCTGCCCCGCTTCAACCAAACGGGTTGCGCTACCCAGCTTGTGTGGTATCCATGGCGTAATTAACTTTGCGAGAAAATTGAATTCACCGTCGTTTGTTTAACCGGGTCAAGGAGTGTGTCTTTTGTAATGGAAGCCTCCTAGACCATGGTTGCATGTGAGCGGCTATTAATTTAATACATTTCTGCGGCTGGTAATGTTCAAAATATTGTAGTCGGGTGGTGCAACGGTTAGAGTGTGCAGCTCACTGTTGGATGCTTGTGGGTTTCAAATTCCGGTCAGGTTATCAGCTCAATCCTTCATCCCTCTGGGGTTGGCAAAAAAGGATTGAGTACAACTCTATGGGAAGTCAACAGTGGCTGTTCTCTGTTGGACTGCCCGTCGCGATGGCGACAGGCCCAACTCCCAACGCCTCCCCGGAGAGAGTGGCCAGCAGAGCCGTCGTGTGGGCCACCAAAAACGGCGATGTACCACCGAAGACGAGTGACGGTGAGCGGGCCGAAAGGACATGGGGTGGTACTGGGTCCAATCCAGCACACCTCTCTGATCCTGCATGGGAGCGTAGAATGTTGACGACTGGCTCACCGGTTGGGGGGGGGGCGGGGGGTAGACAGGAGACGCGCACATGCCGCAACAGGAAACCGACTCTCCGGCTTTGCGACTCGCGAGATGTTCCACGCAGTGGGTTGCACCGCCTGGGCCGAGGAACCGCGCGAGAGAGAGAGAGTGGACGCGGGTGCCTTTGTGAATATCTGCGGAAATCATCACAAAGCGGTGGGATTTAAAAAAAAAACAGGCAGACGTTGGTGCTCGGCAAGCACGCCGAGGTACCAGTCTCCTCGGCGCTGACGTGCTATTTAACCCTTCTCTGTTACGGCTCTGACGGTGCTGTTTTGTTGCTGGCCGTTTGACGTTTTGGGCTTTTGAATAAACCGCGGCTTCAGGAAGCGTGTTAAAGATTTTTTTTTTACCCCAACACCTCTAGTGTAATTAATTAATTTATCCCGAATACGTATTAAGTGTTCTCTCAAAATTAATCCTTAAGTGCCGAATATAAGGGTATAAATATGGCTTTGTGTGTGCAAAAAATTCCATTTACAAGTACGGTCCTGTAGAAACGCTACAGAATCGGATTAGCGCTGCCATGTGTACATTGCACGTGTGCACGAACGCCCTTCCATTCACACGTAATGTTGTAATCATACACACCTATCACACTATTTTCTTTTGTACAGTCGGAGTACAAAGGTATTTCTAATTCTGCGCTGGCATGTATAGTGGTGGTGCAGTAAGGAAAAGCCAGATACAAAATACAGATTCGTTTTTGTACAGATGCAGTATTCAAATACACAACCGTTAAACTGTGAACACGGATGAAAGGGGGGTGGGGGGAAATGCGATTGTGTATTCACGTAATTAATGTATGAACGACACTTGTTTGTTCATTGCTGTACACTAATTTAAATGAGCAGCTGGAAAAAAAAAACCCAAAAGAAGGCCGTGATGAATGCATGCGTGATATAATGATGCCTGGGCCTGCCGTTTCGTAATTGAGTCAATGATGTGATCAATAGGTACAAGAGTAAATCAGTTTGTGGCCATTGTTGTCATTGTTGATTTTGATCATCTTATTTTCCACTGCAACGTGTTGTTAAAAACACAAAAGATAGATAACAAAGAGAATTGCATCAATATAAATGTTGTAAAATCATTGATGCCGAAGCTTGCACGTTGCACATTCTGGGTTGGCCTGGTGCATTGCTTCAGAAGCCATGAAGATGAAGCTTATGGTGCCTCGTGAATGGATTAAAACACAAAGCTAACATGAACCCAAATGCATGAGAAATCAACAGCAGTGCCATGTTTGTTACTGCCACTCATCTCTCAAGCATTGGCTTTCATCCACTCTATTTATACTCACAGAGTCTCTATAAATAGTGGAGCAGAGTTAACGCCGTAAGCGCGGTAGTAAGAGCTTCCGTAGCACGGCAGGACTATGAAAAGAAGCGGCCCGAATATTCTGTCGTTGGTGACGTTTTTCGCCACAAATCTGCTGCGGGCCGTGCGTGACAGTGTCGCGTATGCCGTCAGCTTTCTCCCACGATGGTTGAGTTGGGTTTTGAGCCGATGCCAGACGGTGGCGGGCGAGAAGCCGTCTCACGTGCCCGAGCGCAGCGCGCTGCGTCTCGACACTAAAGTCTACGCGTCCGACGATGACGACACGGCGGGGGATGGCTTGGACTTGGTCGACATCCTGGCTTCCCGCCAGCGTTTCAGGCTGCGCAGGGACAGGCTGTGCGAGCATAGCGAGTACTTCAGGGCCCTGTTCAGGTCCCGCATGCAAGAGAACGAGGAGAGGACGGTGGACCTCACCTCTGTGCCCTGCGAGATCCTCGAGCCCATCCTGGACTTCGTGCACGACGGCCGCTTGGTGCTGCTGACGCCCGACATCGTGTGCGAGTGCATCGAGACGGCAAACTACCTGGTCATGCCCGGGTTTCTGAAGGAGTGCGGCGCATACGCACGCGGAATTCTCGACCGGCGGAACTGCTGGTCCTTCCTGGAGTTTGCCGAGTCGATCGCTTGCGAGGAAGCCCTGGCAGCTGCCTACTCGTATTTGAGCAGCAACTTTCTTGAGCTGGGCAACATCGGCAAGCGCCTCCCGCCCGAGAAGGTGGAGAAGATCCGAAGGCTGCGGACTGAAGGCGCCAGGCACCTCTGCGTCTTGAAAAAGGAGTGCACCGTTCCCGCCCACCTGGCAAACGGAAGCGGCAGGTGCATTTACCATCTGAGTGTGAGGGCTGATGGGGACGAGGCCTCAAGAGGTGGCCGCTTCTGGGATGCCGGCGGCACGCAGACGAACGCGTTCGGCGACGGTGCGGCCGCCGCGGGCGATGGCGGCGGCCGCAGCAGCAGGGCATGGCTGCGCCGAAGTGAGCTGCCCTTCGCCTCTGACAAGTGGAATTTCAGCACAGCGGTCCTGGACAACTACCTCTACATCATCGGGGGCCACAGGCACTGCCGGGGGGGCAGCTCCCGCTCCGAGTTCCGCTCGCTGGCCTATCGCTACAACCCCTTGACGGACACCTGGGCCGAGGTGGCGTGCATGCGCAAGCGGCGGCGGCGCTTCAGCCTGGCCGTGGCGCGGGGCTTCCTGTTCGCGCTCGGCGGCTGGTACCTGGACGCGCTGACGTCGCCGGACGCGCGCACCCATGTCTACTCGGCCGTGGAGCGCTACGACCCCGCGAGCGACACGTGGACGTTCGTGTCGTCGCTGCCCTTCACCGACTTCACCTTCTCGATGACGATGACGCACGACGTGCCGCTCGTGGCCACGCTGCGGGACGACGTCTACGCCATCGGCAACATCGCCCGCACGGGCGAGAAGCTGCTGCTGCGCTACGAGGTGGCGCGCGACCGCTGGAGCGAGGTGCTGCCCACGCTGACGCGCGCCGCCGTCGACCTGCCGGCGCTCTACTGCATGGTGGCGGCCGAGCGGCTCTACGTGCTGGGCTGCAACAACGCCAGCAGCGTGCTGCTCAGCTTCTCGCCTCAAGAGGGCCGATGGAGCAGGCCCGCGCTGCTCCCCAAGCTGTGCCTGGTGGGGCAGGGGGCAGCCGTGGTCGCGGGGGCCGATGGGAGCGGCGGTCCGACGGCCATCGCCATGCCCGCCCCCGAGCAGAACTGCGCCGTGGTGTTGGAGCTGGAAACAGGCGCCGTGCAGCTGCTGCCGGAGCTTCCCTTCCCCCCGTCGCACGAGGCCATCTTCACCCTACACTTCCCGGCGTAGTGGCCAGGTCGAGGACATCGGCGTGGACGGCCGCGTTTTGGCTTGAAGAGAGTAGCGGGATGTGGGGACGCGCGAACGAATACTGCTTATCGGCAGGCCACCGGCTGCCCTAAACGTGTTTCCTCGTTGGCCCTGATTGTAATTAGGGAAACGTGCTTCCACCTCGTTGGGTCCAGCCGAAATATCTTCCCGGTCAAAACAGCGATGCAGTCGCACTCATCTGGGTTTCTCCGGTGATTCTCGCGGCAGCTTTTGGCTGGCCATCGAGCAAAGAAGTCACGGCATCGCGCGCTTTCAGATGCGCTTCTGCGGCCTTCTGGAATGTTCTTCCTCCGCGATATAGAGAAGCCGCTGGAGCTATGCGCTCTTAAATCCTTGAGAACTCATTGGTTTAGAACTGTTAAGCTTCTTGTCCTTCCCCCGCACCTCCAATTAGCACAGTTGGCTACATACGGCGCAAAATAAGTTCTGTGTACGTACATAGTTTACTGCCGCTTAGCCTGTGGTAGAAAAATCCACATTTACATGGCAGAGGCAATCGTGGACTTTCCACGTGCGAACAGTGCTTCAGCTGCCCCCCCCCCCCCCACTCTCTGACACGCTTTAGTTTTAAAACAGTTCGGTGTGGGAAGCAGTGGTTGCAGTGGTTAGACTTTGGGTGAAGGCACGTGTCTCCGCGTATGTATGTCAAATTTATTTCGCACCGTACGTAGCCAACCGTGCTCATCGTCAGTGCGGGTGAAGGACAACCAACTAAACACGAAAAGCAGTTCTGAAGAAATGAGTTTTCAATCGAGATTTAAAAGTGCATTCTTAGTATCGGAAGGAGAAGAGCGTTCCAGACGGCCACAGGAGCGCATCTGAAAGCGCCGCGCGATGCGGTGACCACCGTCTTTGCTCGATGGCTGGCAGCCAAAAGCCCCTTGCTGTGAGGACGACTACCGGAGTTTGCGTGATGATAGTATATGCTCCTTGCCGAGATCAGCGAGGTACTGTCGATCATTTGTGGCAAGCACTTTGTGTGTAATTAGCGCGACCTTATAACGTATCAGTGTACCAGTGACCTGAGTTCAATTCCTAACCACAGCTAACATCAGTGGCGAATTATGTCTGATTCCCCCCCCCCCCCGCCTTCACCAACCTGGACTGACCAGCATGGTGAAGTGTGGTCATACAACACCCATGACTGACACAGTATGGTGGGGGGGGGGGGAGACTTCATCCTGCAGTGGATTGATAAAAATGGCAGTAAATTATGATTTACTTTTTTAAACTTTTATTTTAAAATGTAGTTTTTTGTCTGCCAACAGCCTCTCAAGTTGCACACAATGCCCATCAAGTGGAAACATTTAACACGTTATATTTGGCACTACCAAAGTGTGTATATATACTATTTGTGTGAGTACTGTGTGTTTGGCTTTCGTATGTTTGAGTAGTCTAGCAGGTTAACGCTGTTGACCTATGAGTGTTTTTTGAAGCGTGAATGGTTCAGTTACGAAAAAAATAGCCGATCATCATCCGTGATCTAGCCACTGCTAGTTGAAGGTCACCCCGAGCCCGTCACCATCTCACATGGACCTGCAATGCAACAATCCATCTAGCTCCGACACACGAGCTGATTTCATTGCTCCATCTCTGCGGTGGATGGAATCTCTCGGGTGTATTCTCTCCTTTGGCTGCCACTCCCTGGTTAGTCTCAACCACCGGTCACCACTCCTTCTCGTGAGTCACGTGTCCTGCCCAAATCCACTTCACTTTTACTTCACGGTCAAAAAAACATTGTTCTCCAATCCGCGGCGTCCTCTTCCTATTAGCCAGGTGCGATTCCAAGCGTTACGCCTCTCCGTGCGCCTCCGTGACCGTCTCGTCGTTTACATTTCTCTGGCAATTGCCATGTTTCTGATCCGTATGTCATTTTAGGTAACATGCACTAATTAAACGGTCCTATTTGGGCACACTTTTACCTTGCTTTTCATTCTTACGCTCATTTATCACAAAGCGCTCCCAACATGATGCCAGTCTGCCTTGTGATTGTGTGCTTGTGTGGTCACGTAGACGGCGTACAATTAATTACCCAAACCATCGTTTATCCGCGCGCCCTTAGCGTTGGCAGAGGGCGACACAAGATTCCCGCGCTCGCCCGTGCGCTGCCCTCGGGCCACAAGGGGCAGCATTGAATGAAATGAGCCCATAATGCATGCACGGTGGCACTTTTCATATCTGCAGCTGTTCCCGATTGCCGCCACGCTGTTCTGCTGTAACACGGGGCACACATCTATAAACAAAAATCGTGTTACATGGCGTTATTAGAGCACACTGTTCTGCAAAGTGCCACATCGTTTATGTTCATGTTTCACGTCTCCCACCGTGCTTTCCTCGCATTTCTTTGCACTTTTTATTGCGTGCCATCAAACCTTTATATCTGCTTTTTTTTTGCTTTATAATGTGATCTTAATGTCCAACGACATTCTTTTCCCGTGTAACACCGTGTACTGCACTCACCTGGCATCAAGCCGTGTATTCAATATAGATGTTGCCATGTTCCTGTTTTATATCTCGTTTCACGTCTTGTAAATCAAGAGTTTTGTGTCTACATTTCTGAGTGCAGAGAAAATAAATGAAATGATTCTAACGCGCACGTTACTCTGTGTGCTTGCATGGGCGGCACCGCACTCGCAACGTAACTTCACGCATGCACGCGCGAGCCCCCATGAACGAAGTAATAATAATGAGTGTTCAGCCCTTTGTCAACCCACTGCTTGAACGCAGTGGAGGGCCCAGGGGCTGTGCTCTGAAATCACTCGCCACCGATGTTGGCCGTGGTTGGGAATCGAACTCTGCTCGCCGGGTTCACCTCGCCACTGGCTCCACCGCCCCGATTTATTGAGTGAAGCAAATAAATGGCGTGGCTTTTCCTGAGAAATCTCGAGTCTTTTTGTTTTTTTCCACTCTGAATTATATTCCACCTCTGCTGTTAAGAGACGGATTAATTCGTGACGTAAACATTGCATCAATGTATAATTCCCTGAAGGGTAGAGCCCCATTGTACACCGAGCGCAGCCGTGGGTGACGCAGCCAGCAATGTTACTTAGAGAGGTAGCTGTACCTTCAAAAGGGTATTTTTATACGTTGATGCCCACTGTATAACCGACTTTTACATTTACGTAACAAACTAAAAATAAGCATACAATACGCCTCCACATATCTGTCTCCTCCACGTGAAAATACAAAACAGTTTATTTTTTTTCACTTTTAAACGAATCCCATCAGCCATACAGCCTTCTTGAAAGTGCATCATTTAGGCGGCATCTTTGTTTAACGCAGGGCATCTCAGCATTGGTTTTGATACTCATTGTCTCCTCAGCAGAGTCAGCCCAAGTGACTCAAAACTGTCACTCTCCCATAAGAAATGAAGCCCAGTAAGCGCTGGGCCTCTTGACCCACGACACATTACATGCGTGTGCCACGAGGCACTGCATGATTGCTGGCGTGCTTCCCGTACACAAATGGGTCGTAATCCGACAAGCATCGTTGTGTCTAAAGCGAAATTCTCGTCCCGGGTGTATTCGGAGTGTATTTGTAGCTGACAGGAGGAGGGACAAGAACAACCTTGTTGAATCAGTGCCACAGGAATCAATCAAGCCCGACGCCCAGATAGATTGAAGATGCATTAGACTGCGGGCCACGTAGAGCGTGTCATCTATTATAAAAGCCCGGCGTTCCGTTGTGTCCGTCAACTATATTATAAGAGCCTTTCGGAACGCCTGAATTAAAAAAGTTATAGGAAGTGGACACCGCCCCCAACCAGATGTGGGGGTAAAAAGTTGATCCAACAGGCTTACAACAATTGTCAACCCCCCACCTCCCCGAAAAAGATAAATGTATTTTGTAGTCATATATACTGTACCTCGACACCCTACATACATAGAGTCAGTAGTATCTACTATAGAGTCATATATACCTACATAACCTACATACATAGAGTCAGTAGTATCTATTATAGAGTCATATATACCTACACACCCTACATACAATAGAGTCAGTAGTATCTACTCTAGAGTCATATATACCTACACACCCTACATACAATAGAGTCAGTAGTATCTACTCTAGAGTCATATATACCTACACATCCTACATACAATAGAGTCAGTAGTATCTATTATAGAGTCATATATACCTAAACACCCTACATACAATAGACTCAGTAGTATCTACTCTAGAGTAATATATACCTACACACCCTACATACAATAGAGTCAGTAGTATCTACTCTAGAGTCATATATACCTACACACCCTACATACAATAGAGTCAGTAGTATCTACTCTAGAGTCATATATACCTACACATCCTACATACAATAGAGTCAGTAGTATCTATTATAGAGTCATATATACCTAAACACCCTACATACAATAGAGTCAGTAGTATCTGCACACATGGTGGGGGGGGGGGGAAGAGGACATCAGTGGGGGTAACGGGCGAGGCGCAAAGTGCCGAGAAGCCCTCCGCAGTAGTCCATGAAATCTGTCCTGTATTTTTTTCTACTACCATCAATGCAATGAATCTTCAAGTTGTTATTTACAGGGTACCTATCTTGGTCTGTTCACGGTGAGCTTTTATATTCCGCTGCTTGTATCGCGATGTCCGAAGGCCTGTTTGTCATCGGGACAACCCTTGCCTCTGGCTGCCGGCCCCGTGTCAAGGCCGGAGCAAAGCAACCGAGTTCACCCGTAACTTTCGCTTCCAGTTCGGTGGGCATCGTCGATTGACGGATCGTGAGGGCGCGGGGCTTGGTGGGAGCGGGTTGCCGGTCCTCTCCGTGGTCTTTGTGTCGCGCTTGTCCCGTGTGGCCTGGTTGAAGTCCGGTAGCGGAGACTGTCGGGGGAGTTTTGTTTTGCCTAGCGTCTTGATTTTGTAAAGTTTGGTTTGATACCCCTGCCATTTGTAATGAACACAAGAGGTAAGTTAGAATCTTCTAAACTGAACTTGAACTGATTACAAACTTTTTTTTTTCAATAATCAACACGAAGGAGACTACATTAAAACGAAACTCATTTGTATTTTACCAGGTAAGGCCCACTGAGCTATATAGATATTTTTCAGAAGTGACCTTGCCACAAATGGTTACTCAACGAAATGGCCTTATCGCGTGGAAATTTATAGCAGCCAAATACTCTGAATGCGTGATGTTTCTAAATGTGAAGGGGAAAACTGGAAGGACCCGGAGAAAAAATCCACGCAACCACGGGAAGAACACGCAAACTCCCAATATACAGCAGCAGGCGTCAGGGCCGAGATCGAACCCACGACCTCCTGTACACCAGGCGAGGCAGTTAACATCCCACAAAACACATAACCTTGGTGTGGTTTGCCTAATTTAATAATAATGGTGATACTAATTTCTTGAGTTCATGTAGAACCTTTCACCCGAAGGTCCCAAAGTGTTTACCATCAGCGAAGACATCATCATCATCATCAACAATAAAAATGTAATACAGATCAAGAGCAACTAATTATAATAAGAATAAGTATAATTCCTTGAACAAGAATTGCGAATTATATACCCAGGAAAGCCTCATTGAGTGTTCATATTTTCCGTCAGGAATCCTGCATTGAGATATTTTGCCATTACCATTAACGAGTGTTTGGCTTTTGGCAGCAAACTCAAGACTCTGTCTAGATAGATTGGGCGAAATAGATTGCTATAGTGCAATCTGGTCATTTTGCAGCACAAGCCCACAATAACAATCATGAAGACCCGTTCTGTAGTGCCGGAACTTGGCGAGCCATTACAAGGGCGATGAA